TTTTCTTAAGAGGCCAAACTTTTCCATGTGACTCTCCCTTCTTGCGTCCTGGGAAGTCACCGGAGAGGGGCGCGCGGAAGGGGAGCCCCACGGTCCCCCTCGAGGTGTTCGGGGTCCCCGCTCTCCAGCTGGGGCACGGGCATGCAGGGCGTGCTGGTGCGGCCGAAGTGGGTTCCCAGTCTGTGCAAAGGCAAAAACGTAAGGGGCTGGGGAGGACCTGGTAAGAGGGGACTGTCCCCCCTTGCGCCTGGGGCTGAGGGCGCCCGCGCCCCCACCCCAAACCCCTCGGCGCTTCCTCTCCCCCCGGGGCGCGGAGGGGGCCAGGGCCGCGCGCGCGGAGCTTGGGCCAACCCCCCTCTGCTCCACCCGCAGACCCCGCTGAAGCTGCGCCGAGATGTGCGACGACGAGGAGACCACCGCCCTGGTGTGCGACAACGGCTCCGGGCTGGTCAAGGCCGGCTTCGCGGGCGACGACGCGCCCCGCGCCGTCTTCCCTTCCATCGTGGGGCGCCCGCGCCACCAGGTACCTCCCGCCCGCCCGCCGTCCCGGGGCGGTCCCCAGCCCCGCCCGCGGCCCTCCAGCAGCCCCTTCGCCCCGCCATCCAGGAGCTGTCTCCCCTGAGCCTCCTGCTTTCATGACCTCTTTAGGTCGAATAAGTTAAAGATGACTTAGGCTCAAGTCCGACCTTGGCGGGCAATTCTCACACCCGCACTGAAGGGGGGTGTGAAGCGTGCGCTTCCCCGCGTTCACTTCAGGGATGCAGCTCTCCAAGGGTCCAGCTCCCTGGTCTGAAAGGCAGCAGCTTCTCTCCTCCACTCCCCACCTGCATATTTCGCCCTCGGTGTCTTCTCCGCTATCTTTTGTACACTTCACTTTTTTCCTTGGCTTCTCTTCAGTCCAGTTCAAAACATCATAATCAAACTTCTCAACCACCCAGGAGCCAGGGCACATTCCTGGCTCTTGTTCGCAACCAGTTCACAGAGCTCCCAAAGATGGAATCTATCTGCTTCCTGGCTGTTGCATTTTTAGAAGCCAGACGTGACAGAGTCAGTAAGTGCCATGGTGATAGTGACATACCACCTTGTTTATTAAGAGGACTGCCACCCTCCCTGGCTTTGCGACATGCCTGGTCAGAAAGGCTGCCAAACCGGAGAGCTCTGCTCCTCGGTGCCAGGGAGCGATGGGCAGGGCGGCTGTGGGCAGGCTGGATTCCACTGGCAGCCTGATAGTGGCATATCAGCCGGTCTCTGCTTGATGAATGTCAAAATCTTTTCTTAGGAGAAATACATGTCACTAATTCAGTCATTTCACAATGTAGTCATTTATATCCTAGTTGACATGAGTGATGAGCTTAATAATTTAATGAAGGCATTATGTTATTTTTAAAACGAGGTGAGGCTCAACTTCAGTGAAATAGCATTGTCGTGCCCCCCCCCCCC